AGGCCTTCTATGAGGTGGATTGATTCAGTGACTGGGATAATCGGGATGGGAGTGTCGGAGACAGTGCGATTGGCACAGGACAGAGCAGAGTTTAGGGCAGTTGTACATAGGGTCACTATGAGTCGCAAGTGACTCGATGGCACATAACAACAACAACAACATCCTTAAGCATTGTCCAGGTCTCTGATGCATAGCAAGTAACTGTGAAGACCATGGCCTGGATCAGGTGCACCTTAGTCTCTAACCCAACACTTGCTTCTCAGTACTCTGGAGAGGTCCCTGACAGCAGATTTTCCCAGTGCAATTTGTCTTTTAATTCCTGACTGCTGGTGCCAAGAGTGTTGATAGTAGACCCTAGCAAGCTGTAATTGTTAACAACCTCAGTCTTTTCTCCATCTACCAAGGTGCTGCCACTTGGCCCAGTGGCTCCATTAGAGCAACCATTTTCCTTGATCATCTTCTCTTCCAAACTATACTATATAAAATTAGAGTATAAAGTACAGTAGAGATCATCCAGATGCTTGAACTTAGTCCCACACCTTCATTTTGATGTAGGAAGGACTGATCACATTGAGAAGGGCTTCCAAGAGTGGGCCACTGACTTGCTGGTCACAGCTAGTACGAGAGCTGGGACCAGAGAACATTTTTCTTGACTCTCAATATCGTGCTTTTTTAACCACATTGTTTGACTTTAACTCAACTTCAGCTAGTTAAGAAGGTTCAGAAAATCCCCACAGGAAAGAACAATTTTGGATCTCTATGCAATTCAGGCGGCATTCTTACACTCTTGGGAGGTTCTTGATGTCATATTATCTTTCCCCCAAAGGGACTTTGTGGCATGCCTTCCTTTTGTCTTATTTTTAATCTCTGTTCACGGATTCTTTCTCCTTCCTATTTTCTATATTTTAAAAAAACACACACTCAGAATAATGGTGAAATTTGCATTATCAATATGGTATTCCCTGTCTAGAAAATATATTTCTCCTTCACAGCTCAACCACTGGAGGGAATTCAGCAGACACAAGGCAGCTTCAAGTAATACATATTATGAGTCCACAAATTTGCAAAATCCATTATACCTCACCACATAGGTTACACTTTTTATTTCTGAAGTGGTTTTTTTCAGACTCTTGCTTGGAGTTAACAAACTCACGATGAAGAGACTAAGTGGAGTTCATCTAGGGATGTTGAGTAGCAGGCTATGTATGGTATCTTCAATGGCTTCCTATGGTAAAAAGCTGTGCTGTAATCCCGAAGGCACATGCTTCTACTCCACCAGATACTCCATGAGAGAAGGATGGGCAGTCTCCTCCTGTTTGATTTACTGCCTCTAAAACCCACTGGAGGGTCAGCTGTGGGTTTGTTCAGACTTGAAGGCACACAACAACATGCATCTGACAGTTGAGCAATGATTAAGGATGACAGAGAAAGAATTTATGCCTTTGAATTGTGGTGTTAGAGTATTGACTGTACTATGGACTACCAAAAAAAAACAAACAAATGTGTCTTGAGGAAGTGCAACCAAGGTACTTCTCAGAGGCAAGGATTAGTGAAACTTGGTCTTGATACTTTGCGCATGTTATCAAGAATGGCCAATCCTCGGGAAAGGTAAAGGGTCAGTGAAAAAGAGGACAACCTTCAATGAGATGGATTGACAGTGACTGTAACAATGAGCTCACACACATCATTGATTGTGAGGATGATGCTGTTGTTCATAGGGCTGCTATGAGCTTAGTCCACTCAATGGCACCTAAAAACAACTCATCATACTGGCTTTAAAAATTACATATATACTGTATTTGTCCTTATGGGACTGAGTTAGTTCACTCAGCATAATGCATTCCAGTCCCTCCCAAGTTAGGAAGTAATTTTCAAAATCATTGCTCCTGCATATTGTATAGTATTCCATTGTGTGAATGTACCATAATTTCTCAATACATTCAATTGTGGTTGGACATCTGGACTGTTTCCATGTTCTTGCGGTGGTGAATAACGCTGCTATGAACATTGGTGTACAAGTCTCTATTTGTGCCTCAGATCTCATTTTCTTGGAGTATATTCCAAACAATGCAATAGCTGAGTCATATGGAATTTCTATGTTCAGCTTTTTGAGGAAGCGCCACACTGCCTTCCAGAGTAGTGGCTCCATTGTACCATCCTGTTAACAATGTGTAAGAGTTCCTATCTTGCCTCATCCTCTCCAACATTTATTACTTGCTGTCCTGTTAAGCTTTGCCACTGTTACTGGGGTGAGGTAGTATCTCATTGTGGTATAAAACCATTATTGTAGAATGAGTATGAGGTTGCAAGGGGGAAGGATGGAAACAGAGGCGTGAGGATATGCGGGGTGTTGGGGACAAGGACTAATCATGGGGGTCACAAAATTTGATAGGTGGGAGGATAAGGAAAATAGGGAGGATCTGGTGTGGAAAACAAGGTATTAAAATTTTATTAAATAAACTAGTATAAAAAATTACATATATATTAATGACTCCCAAGTCTGTACCACCAGCCTGATTTTTTTTCTCTGAATTCCAAATCCTTATATTCCAAGTCCCTACCTATCTCTTCCTGATTGTTCCATAATCCTCACAACGGAACTCAAGAGTTCCCCCTTCCCAATCAGCTTATCTCCCATCCTTCCCCTTAACCTTAAACCTTTTTCTGGGTTAGCTGGTGCTATCCACTAAATCACCCAGCCCAGTAACCTAGGAAGGAATCCTTTTAGGTTTTTTTCTCCATCTCTGGCCTCTGTTACTAAGTTTCATACAATCTGCTTAAGTATTTTTTCAAAGCCATTCTCTATTCCTCGTCCTAACTGCTGTTGAGACCTAGGCATCATCTCTCATCTGGACTATTGCAGTATCCTCCCAACTGATCTTCCAATCTTTGGAGTTCAGCTGCCTTCACATGATCCTTTATACAACTACCAGGATTATTCCTCTAAAAAGAATTAGATCTTATCACTCCACTGCTTAAATTCTCTTTGTTAAAAAAAAAAATTCTCTTTGTTGTTACTGTTATGTGCCATCGAGTTGCCTGAGATTCATACCGACCGTATTTACAGCAGCTCTGAAGCCTGCCCTGTCCTGAGCCAGTGTCACTGACTCTGACACACCTACCCCCAATGTCCCAGTTACTCTATCAATCCATCTCATCCAGGATCTTCCTCTCCTGCTCTGTCCCTCCACCCTTCCAAGCATGATGTCCTCATCTAAGAACTAGTCCCTCCTGGCCACGAGCCCAAAGTATGTGAGATGGAGCTTCAAAATCCTAGTCTCCAAGAAGAAACTTGGTTTCACCCTCTCCAAGACAGACCTATTTGTTTTCTTGGTGGTTCATGGTATGTTCAAGACTCTTGTCCAGCACCACAACTCAAAGGCATCAATTCTTCTTTTGTTATCCTTAGTCATTGTCCAGCTCTCTGATGCATAGCAAATAAAAGTGAAGACCATGGCCTAGATCAGGCACACCTTACTCTCTAGACTGATACCATTGCTTTTTAATATGCTGGAGAGATTCCTGGCTGCTGGTCCCAAGAGTGTTGATTGTGGAGCTGAGCAAGCTGTAATTGTTAACAACCTGAATCTCTTCTCCATCTGTCATGCTGTTGCCAATTGGCCCAGTGGTGAGAATCTTTGTCTTCTTGATGTTGAGCTTCAATCCATATGGAAGGCTGTAGTCCTTGACCTTCTGCAGCAAGTGCTTCAGGTCCTCAGTTTCAGCAAACAAGATTGTGTCATCTGCATAAGTAGGTTGTTGTTGAGTCTTCCTCTAATCCTGATGCCACATTCCTCCTCATAAATTCTTTTAATGGCTCTTATAATGTACAAGAAAAATCCATACTCCACAGTAAAAGCACCAATGACTTGTGTGATCTGGCCTCCACCTTTTGCTGAACCTAGCCCTTTTTCATACTTGTGGCTTAGCATATGCTCTTCCCTCTGTCTGAAATTCCCTTTCCTCAATCTCCCTTGTCTTCCTGGGAAACCTCCACTCTTCTCTCAAGAGTTTTGGTACAAATGTCATCTTTTTAAAGGCTTTCCCAGTACTATAGACTTGCAATCCTTTATATCCCATTGTCATTTGTAAAACATCAGCTTCAGAGCAATTTCCATGTTTTATTGTGATAGTTTTTATGAGACAGGGACTGTGACTTTTCACCTGTCAATTCCAAGCATCCAGATTAATGCTGGTATATAACAGGGATTGTATACATTTGTCGAGTGAATTAATTGCCTGCAATTATTTCATAGAACTTTTTTCTTATTAAATATATCAAGTAAAAAAAAAATTAAAAAAATTAAAAAAATATATCAAGTAAAGGTTAACACTCTAGAATTTACTGTTTCAACTTACATGGGTACTCAGTATATGCTTTCTTCTAATTTTGTTTTACTTTTGAATAGGTAATGTTGTTGTTGCTCTTGTTATGTGCTGTCGAGTTGCTTGCATAACGACCCTATGTACAACAGCCCTATGCCCTGCTCTATCCTGAGCCAACCTTATTGTCTCTGACACACCTACCCCCATTACCCAGTCCCTGTCTCATCCTGGATCTACCTCTCTTGTGCTGTCCTTCCACCCTCCCAAGCATAATGTCCCTCTCCAAGGACTGGTCCCTTCTTGCAACATGCCCAAAATATGTCAGATGGAGCTTTCAAGGAGCAGCCCAGTTTCACCCTCTCCAGGATGAACTTGTTTGTTCTCTTAGTAGTCCATGGTATATTCAGTACTCTTTTCTAGTATTTTCTAGTATGATGATTTTTTCTAGTATTGATTTTCTAGTATGATGCTCAAAGGCATCAATTCTCCTCCTATCAACCCTAGTCCAGCTTTCTGATGCATAGCAAGTAATTGCAAAGACCATGGCCCAGATCAGGCATACCTTAGTCTACAGTCTGGCATCATTGCTCTTCAGTATTCTGGAGAAGGCTTTTACAGTAGATTTTCCCAATACAATTCGTCTTTTGAGTTCTTGGATGCTAGTACCAAGAGTGTTGACTGTGGAGCCAAGCAAACTGAAGCTGTTAACAATCTCAATCTCTTCAGCATTTATCATGATGCTGCCAATCGGACCAGTGGTGAGAATCTTTGTCTTCTTGATGTTGAGCTTCAATCCATAATGAAGGCTGCAGTCCTTTGACCATCTGTAGCAAATGCCTCAGGCCCTCCTCAGTGTTAGCAAGCAAAGTTGTATCATCTGCATAACACAGGTTATTGATGAGTCTTCCTCCATTCCTTATACAACATTCATCTTCATAGATCCCAGCCTCCTGCATGATCTGTTCTACATATAGAGTGAAAAGCTATGGAGATAGGGTGCATATCTGGCATATACCTTTACTGATTTTGAACCATGCAGTGTTTACTTGCTCTGTTCTGATGACGGCCTCTGGTCTAAGTATGTTTGTTGTTGTTGTTGTTATGTGCCATTGAGTTGCCTGCAACTCTACATACAACAGCCCTAAACCCTGCTCTATCTTGTGCCAATCTCACTGTCTCTGACACGCCTACCCCATTAACCCAGTCACTGAGTCTATCCATCTTATTGAGGGTGTTCCACTCCTGCGCTGTCCCTCTGCCCTCCCAAGCATGACATCCCTCTCCAAGGACTGGTCCCTCCTTGCAACATGTCCAAAGTATGTCAGATGAAGCTTCACAATCCTTGCCTCCAAGGAGAAGCCTGGTTTAACCCTCTTCATAACAAACCTGTTGGTTCTCTTAGCAGTCCATGGTATATATAATACTCTTCTCCAACACCACAGCTCAAAGGCATCAATTCTCCTTCTATCACCCCTTGTCCTTGTCCAGCTCTCTGATGCATAGCAAATGATTGCAAAGACCATGGCCTGGATCAGGTGCACCCTTGTCTGCAAACTGGTATCGTTGATCTTCATACTTTAGAGAGGACCCTTCAGCAGACTTTCCCAATGTAATATATCTTTTAATTTCCTGGCTGCTGGTATCAAGAGTGGAGGTTTTTGTGTTTGGTTTTTTTTTAATTTTTTTTTATTATTTTTGTGTGAGTGTACCGTCAAATCAGATCTGACTGGTACAGGAGGAGATTGTCCCTCCTTCCCCAGCAGAGCATCTGGTGGATTCGAAAGAGTGGAGGTTTTGCATAAGCACAATCAAGTGTTCTGAGATTCTCATTCTTCTCAGAGTTAGCCACAGTTTATTAAGATCCACATAGTACGTTTACATTATTAAAAATTCAAGCAATTTTAAAGGTCATAGAGAGAAATTTTCCTTCTATCTGTAAAAAGAATAGAGTTGGAGGCAGTAGCATTGTCTGACCTTCTCTAACTTTAAAAGGGGAAGAATCCCCATCACCAGCATTAACAGTAGCCAGAGGCCTCCTCCTATGAAATGACATGTGCTACTTACCCCCCTTGATCTAAACTCCTTGACCAGTTCTAACAGTAAGTGTTCCTCCTTCCCGTAACACTCTCTACTTCTCTGCTGGGTTTAATAATTCACTGCAGTGGCTACATAGAACTCACAGACAATACCCACAATTACAGTATTAATCATGGAAGTAACAAGTTACAATCCAGGTTCAGGAACAATTCAGAATATAGCTCTTCCATCAAGACAGCATTTCTCCTAAAAGGAGAAAACCCTTCAGCCTTTTGGCTTGCCTCGGCCCTGCTGGGATAAGTGTTACAAAGATCCTTTGGCTGTGCCATTTTAAGTGTTCCTCAAAGGACCTTACTCTGCAAAGCAAGCCTAGGTCCAAAGTTGCTCAGCTCTGACTCTGTGAGTTGGCAAATTCCCTAACAAATGCTGATAGCACTCAGCTTTCTCACTCTGTAGGTCTGGAGCCTGTCTTGTGTCAGTCTCTAGGTTTTTCTGTCGCTGTTATCTCTGCTTTCACTGTAATCTCCACTGCAGCTGTATGCTGTCTCAAGCCATCAAAAGTGTTGACATTTGCCTCCAGATTTTAACATCTACTCCATGTTCAAGTGAGTGTTTGAGCAGGGATCCCAGTTCCAAAGGACCACATTAGTGGCTTTCCTCATTGATGGTAGTGAGAGCTCCCTTTTCTGCCTCTGGAATGGCAAATTCCAAGCTTGGCAGGATGGCAAACTGACCAATTCCAATGTTAGGGTTCTACACACCTTATTTGCATGATCTCACCCTACAAAATTGCTATTTACCTTATTTATGTTGTAAGCAAGTTATCTATCCCCTTGGTGGGCTAGAGACA